TCCCCAAATCTCCTTAAGCTGATAAGCAATTTCAGCAAAGTCTCAGGATACAAAATCAATGTGCAAAAATCACAGGCATTCCTATACACCAATAACAGACAAAGAGAGAGCCAAATCATGAGTAAACTCCCATTCACAATTGCTACTAAGAGAATAAAATACCAAGGAATACAAGTTACAAGGGATGTGAAGGACCTCTTCAAGGAAAACCACAAACCACTGCTCAAGGAAATAATAGAGGACATAAACAAATGGTAAAACATTTCATGCTCAAGGATAGGAAGAATCAATATCGTGAAAATGCCCTTACTGCTCAAATTAATTTATAGATTCAATGCTATCCCCATCAAGCTACGACTGACTTTCTTCACAGAATTGGAAAAATCTATTTTAAAGTTCATATGGAACCATAAAAGAACCCTCATAGCCAAGACAATCCTGGATAAGAAGAACAAAGCTGGAGGCATCACGCTACCTGTCTTCCAACTATACTACAAGGCTACAGTAACCAAAACAGCATCGTTCTGGTACAAAAACTGATAAAAAGACCAATGGAACAGAACGGCGGCCTCAGAAATAACACCACACATCTACCACCATCTGATCTTTCACAAACCTGATACACACAAGCAATGGGGAAAAGATTTTCTATTTAATAAATGGTGTTGGGAAAACTGGCTAGCCATATGCAGAAAAGTGAAACTGAACCAGTTCCTTACACCTTATACAAAAATCAACTCAAGATGAATCAAAGACTTAAACATAAGATCTAGGACCATAAAAATCCTAGAAGAAAACCTGGAAATACCATTCAGGACATTGGCATGGGCAAAGACCTCATGAGTAAAACACCAAAAGCAATTGCAAAAAAGCCAAAATTGACAAATGGGATCTAATTCAAGAGCTTCTGTACAGTAAAAGAAACTGTCATCGGAATCAACAGGCAACCAATAAAATGGGAGAAAATTTTTGCAATCTATCCATCTGACAAAGGACTAATATCCAGAATCTACAAAGAACTTAAATTTACAAGAAAAAAAAATGCTATCAAAAAATGGGCAAAGCATATGAGAAGACACTTCTCAAAAGAAGACATTTATGCAGCCAACAAACCTATGAAAAAAATGCTCATCATCACTGGTCATTAGAGAAATGCAAATCAAAACCAAAATGAGACACTATCTCATGCCAAGTAAAATGGTGATCATTAAAAAGTCAGAAAACAACAGATGCTGGAGAGATTGTGGAAAAATAGGAACACATTTACACTGTTGGTGGGAATGTAAATTGGTTCCACCATTGTGGAAGACAGTGTGGCGATTCCTTAAGGATCTAGAACTAGAAATACCATTTGACCCAGCAATCCCATTACTGGGCATATACCCAAAGGATTAGAAATCATTCTACTATAAAGACACATGCACACGTATGTTTATTGTGGCACTATTCACAATAGCAAAGACTTGGAACCAACCCAAATGTCCATCAATGACAGACTGGATTAAGAAAACGTGGCACATATACACCATGGAATACTATGCAGCCATAAAAAGGATGAGTTCATGTCCTTTGCAGGGACATGGATGAAGCTGGAAACAATCATTCTCAGGAAACTATCACAAGATCAGAAAACCAAATACCACATGTTCTCGCTCAGAAGTGGGATTCGAACAATGAGAATACATGGACACAGGGAGGGGAACATCACACACCATGGCCTGTGGGGTCTGGAGGGCTAAGGGAGGGATAACATTAGAAGAAATACCTAATGTAGGTGACGGGTTGATGGGTGCAGTAATCCACCATGACACATGTATACCTATGTAAGAAAACTGCCCATTCTACACATGTAACTCAGAACTTAAAGTATAATAATAAAAAAATGTATAAACATAGTGTCATCTCAAAGACTGCATCAATTATTACTGATGTGAAGATTACATTTCATTTACTAATATTGATAAATCATTTTCTACTTAAAAGTTCCATTTGCAATTTTGAAATTAGTTATGAACTGAAACTATTCTGGAGTTTCATAATTAAAAACCAGGAGTGAAAGCAATAATAATTACTTTCCTGTTCTTGCTTAAGAAAGAAAAGTATTGGCAGTTGGTCATGATAAGTATATGGAATATTAATTTGAAACTTTGATTTTAAAATAAATATTTCTTATTTATTGGTATAATTCTGTTTTTATATCTCATTCTTTATGTATACTTACTGTCAGTCTGATGGTTGCCCTGTGGTTGTTGGTCTTAATTTTGCCTCAACTGGCAACCAAATGAAACAGGGATCCTCACAATGGTGCAAGATGGACGAAATTGTTGTTCAAAGTTTTGTTTTTTTTTTTCTAAAACTCTACTTTTTACAGAATTCTGTTTGTTAGCCCCAGTAAATATATATCAGAAATCTCTAATTTTAAAAAGCTAGTGCTATTTGGAAGGCATCATGGCTTATGAGGAAAATCAGTAACCTAGAATTTATAGACCTTAGTCTGGTCTGCCTACATTACCCTTCTTGTGTGTGGCTTGGGTATGTCTTTTATTATTATTATTATTATTACTATTATACTTTAAGTTCTAGGTTACATGTGCAAAACATGCAGGTTTGTTACATATGTATACTTATGCCATGTTGGTGTGCTGCACCTATCAACTCGTCAGCACCCATCAACTCGTCATTTACACCAATGCAGTCCCTTCCCCCACCCCCCTCCCCATGATAGGCCCTGGTGTATGATGTTCCCCTTCCCGAGTCCAAGTGATCTCATTGTTCAGTTCCCACCTATGAGTGAGAACATGTGGTGTTTGGTTTTCTGTTCTTGCGATAGTTTGCTGAGAATGATGGTTTCCAGCGGCATCCATGTCCCTACAAAGGACACAAACTCATCCTTTCTTATGGCTGCATAGTATTCCATGGTGTATGTGTGCCACATTTTCTTAATCCAGTCTGTCACTGATGGACATTTGGGTTGATTCCAAATCTTTGCTATTGTGAATAGTGCCACAATAAACATACGTGTGCATGTGTCTTTATAGCAGCATGATTTATAATCCTTTGGGTATATACCCAGTAATGGGATGGCTGGGTCATATGGTACTTCTAGTTCTAGATCCTTGAGGAATTGCCATACTGTTTTCCATAATGGTTGAACTAGTTTACAATCCCACCAACAGTGTAAAAGTGTTCCTATTTCTCCACATCCTCTCCAGCACCTGTTGTTTCCTGACTTTTTAATGATTGCCATTCTAACTGGTGTGAGATGGTATCTCATTGTGGTTTTGATTTGCATTTCTCTGATGGCCAGTGATGATGAGCATTTTTTCATGTGTCTGTTGGCTGTATGAATATCTTCTTTTGAGAAATGTCTGTTCATATCCTTTGCCCACTTTTTGATGAGGTTGTTTGTTTTTTAATTGTAAATTTGTTTGAGTTCTTTGTAAGTTCTGGATATTAGCCCTTTGTCAGATGAGTAGATTGCAAAAATTTTCTCCCATTCTGTAGGTTGCCTGTTCACTCCGATGGTAGTTTCTTTTGCTGTACAGAAGCTCTTTAGTTTAATGAGATCCCATTTGTCAATTTTGGCTTTTGTTGCCGTTGCTTTTGGTGTTTTAGACATGAAGTCCTTGCCCATGCCTATGTCCTGAATGGTATTACCTAGGTTTTCTTCTAGGGTTTTTATGGTATTAGGTCTAACATTTAAGTCTCTAATCCATCTTGAATTAATTTTCATATAAAGAGTAAGGAAAGGATCCAGTTTCAGCTTTCTACTTATGGCTAGCCAATTATCCCAGCACCATTTATTAAATATGGAATCCTTTCCCCATTTCTTGTTTCTCTCAGGTTTGTCAAAGATCAGATGGCTGTAGATGTGTGGTATTATTTCTGAGGACTCTGTTCTGTTCCATTGGTGTATATCTCTGTTTTGGTACCAGTACCATTGGGTATGTCTTTTAAAATCTCAGTCTCAATTTTCTAATCTATAAAATGTTGACTTAAAACTCTACTAGTCTACCAGTCCTCTGGGGAGCTGTGAGGATAAAATGACAATTGATATGAAATATATTCTAAATCACAAAATACTGAACATGTAAATATTAAAGGAAACCTTACCATTGTTATTATTCTTTTTATCAATTTAGAACTTTTGAGATTGGCATTTGTGAAAACATCTAGTAAAGAACGTGTCATACAGTAAGTCTTAAAAAAGCGTTAGCTAAGTCTGAATCTGAACAAGCTGGTGTTTTTGCATTTTATTTTCTGTTTTTCAAATAGAAGCTAGATAAGCTCATGTTTGAGTGTGATTTTGGAAGTGTGAAGTTGAATCCACTCAAATAAACTCAGAGAAAATTCAGGCAAATCTAAAATCCTCTGATGTTGAAGTTATTTTGGAGTGCCCAGGGACAAGCTGTTAGGTACTTATGGGGTATGCCTTAAAGTCGCTTTGCCTCAGAAGTTTAGCTATTGCCTGGTAAGCTACTAAATTAAGTAACTTCTAATTTTCAGATATTAATTTATTCCATTAATTTATTTCCATTTTTTATTCAGCATTGATCTTAGTCAATCCATTTACTATATGTCTTGCTGCTGTTTCATATAATATCTAACAGATGTTCTCTAGTTTTGTTGCATCTTGCTGTAAATCTCTGTAGTAAAATTAAGGAAATTTTCTTGAAGTACACCCTCAAGTATGTTTTCCAATCTCTTTACTTTCTCTTTCTCTTTTTCAGGGATCTCATTAATTTGTGGGTGTGGTCATTTATATAATCCCATATTTCTCAAAGACTTTGTTTATTTATAAAAATATATTTTGTTTATTTTTTTGTATACTGAATTAACTCAAAAGACCAGAGTTAAAACTCAGATTTTTTTCTTCTGGTTTGTGTAGTCTATTGATAAAGATTTCAATTGAACTTTTTAATTTTTTAAATTAGTTTTTTAATTACAGAAACTCCAAATGATTACTTTTTAGGCTATTTATCTCTTTCTTTCTTTCCTGGAAAAATATGAAATGCTTCACAAATTTGCTTGTCATCCATGCACAGAAGCCATGCTAATCTTTGTATTGTTTTAATGTTTTGTATATATGCTGTCAAAGTGGGCATAGAATTTTAAATTTAGAATTAAATATTCTATAGGAAACTTTGTCCTGTCCCTAGATATAACCATCCAAGGCTGCAAATGCATTTTCACATTTTGAGTACTTTTGTATGAGTGGCTAATCTTTAATCATGAATTTCTATTTAATCAGAAATGCCTTTAATATTGTAGAATGTAATAGTGACATGACTCATCTTAGGCAATGAAAATTATTTGAAATAAAAAGTAGTGTTACACAGTATTAATACTAGTTGGTAAAATCTGAAAGTTCATTATCAATGAAATTCATGTGTTAAGATTTCAGGAATAATTAAATTTTGTAATGAGATTCTGGTTATTTTAATGAAAGAATATTCCAGATCCCCAAATTAACTTGATATTAATATAATAAACAGGTTGGTGTGTGAAATTATATTCCTAGAAAAAATTGATTATTTATGAGTCAAAAGCAAGTAGTATAACTGAAATTTGAAATAGCATTTTCTTAAACTCACTCTTATTTAATCTTGATGGCATAATTATGAATAAAATATTTGTAAGATTAATATTTCTAAAAAATATTCCGAGTAAAATATGTCTTTTTTCAATACACACTTGTCTGGAAAATTAGGAAAGGCATATGAATTAGATAATTATCAATAATTTCATTGCATAAAGAAGACTTCTGTTCAAACAATGAGTAGTCTAGATTAATTAATGCCTTCACATATTTTCCACCTCTTTTAATTAGTATCATTTCTTCCTCACTGGGTAGCAGCTCCTCTTCATCAAAGTATGTATTTGTTTTAATCATCTACTAGAACCACCTGAGATGTCCATTTTTGAAATAATTTCAAACTTAAAACAAAGCCATATGAACAGCACAAAAAGTATGTATCTTCTTTACTCAGACTCCCCAATTGTCAATGATTTATGATATGGGTGCTCGCTCTCTTTCTCTCTCTCTCTGTCAATAAATAACTATATGGTTAGATAGAAATATTGCATTATTCTTTTTCCGAATAAGTTAAGAATATAGTGTAAGTCTGATGCTGCAAACTTATTATAGTATACATTTGTCCAAAGTAATGACTTTTTTCACCATACCACCATTGCAACCTCCAAATTAGTAAACATTGCCATTCATTTTACAGATTCCATTCAAATTTTGCTAATGGTCTCAATAATTCCTATTTTATATTTTTGGTCAAGGATCTAATCCAGGATTAAATGTTGTACTCAATTATCACATCTCTTTACTGCCCTTTAATTTGGAACAGTTTTTCTGTCTTACCCTCTATTTCATGACTGTGCCAATTTTAATGAATAGTACCATTTTATTCTGTGGGAAGGAAGGCTCATATTGTTTGGTGTTTTTCATGGCTAGGCTCAGGATATGAAAATTTGGCAAATATACCGCTAATGCAATGCTGCTTTTTTCACAGTGACTCACATCTAAAGACACCAAAATTGGCCGAATATTAATATCTTACATAACAATAGTACATTTGTCAAAATGAAAAAAAATTGACATTGGTCAATTTTTACACTGCTATTCTCATATTTACTTTCTCCTCCTTCTCCACTTCCTCTTGCTCCCTTTCTTTTTCTTCCTTTCCTTCTTCTTCCTCCTACTGCCCTTCTTCTTCCTGCTTATCCTCCTTCTTTCCGTCTTTTTCCTCCTACTACTTCTTGTTTTTTCTTCTTCTCAACTCTCCATAAGTGTAATAAACTTTCTCAGCCATGGAGTCACGTAAAAAAACACATAGAAGAATATACAACAACAGCAGTAGATTAGTGTAGAATAACATAGAAAAATGAGATGTGTTGATTCTGGATATGAGCCCTTTGACAGATGGATAAATTGCAAAAATTTTCTCCCATTCAGTAGGTTGTCTGCTCACTCTGATGATAGTCTCTTTTGCTGTGTAGAAGTTCTTTGGTTTAATTAGATTCCAATTGTCAATTTTGCTTTTCTTGCCATTTCTTGTGGTGTTTTAGTCCTGAAGTCTTTGCCCATGCCTATGTCTTGAATGGTATTGCTTAGGTTTTCTTCTAGGGTTTTTTAGGGTTTTACATGTCACGTTTAAGTCTTTAATCCATCTTGAGTTAATTTTTGTCTATTAGCTGTAAGGAAGGTGTCCAGTTTCAGTTTTCTGCATATGGCTAGCCAGTTTTCCTAACACCATTTATTAAATAGGGAATCCCTTTCCCATTGCTTGTTTTTGTCAGGTTTATCAAAGATCAGATGGTTGTAGATGCATAGCATTATTTCTGAGGCCTCTGTTCTGCTCCATTGGTCTATATATTTGTTTTGGTACCAGTACCGTGCTGTTTTGGTTACTGTAGCCTTGTATAATTTGAAGTCAGGTAGCATGATGCCTCCAGTTTTGTTCTTTTTGCTTAGGATTGTCTTGGCTATATGGGCTCTTTTTTGGTTGCATATGAAATTTAAAGTAGTTTTTTTGTAATTCTGTGAAGAGTGTCAGTGGTAGCTTGATGGGGATAGCATTGAATCTATACATTACTTCGGGCAGTATGGCCATTTTCATGATATTGATTTTTTCTATCCATGAGCATGGAATATTTTACCATTTGTTTGTGTTCTCTCTTATTTCCTTGAACAGTGGTTTGTAGTTTTCCTTGAAGAGGTCCTTCACATCCCTTGTAAGTTGTATTCCTAGGTATTTTATTCTCTTAGTAGAAATCGTGAATGGGAGTTCACTCATGATTTGGCTCTCTGCTTGTCTATTATTGGTGTATAGGAATGTTTGTGATTTTTGCACTTTCGTTTTGTATCCTGATACGTTGATGAAGTTGCTTATCAATTTACGGATGTTTTAGGCTGAGACAATGGGGTTTTCTAAATATATAATCATGCAGTCTACAAACAGAGACAATTTGACTTCCTCTTTTCCTATTTGAATGCCCTTTATTTTTTTTCTCTTGTCTGATTGCTCTGGCCAGAACTTCCAATTCTATGTTGAATAGATGTGGTGAGAGAGGGCATCCTTGTCTTGTGCCAGTTTTCAAAGGGAACGCTTCCAGCTTTTGCCCATTCAGTATGATATTGGCTGTGGGTTTGTCATAAATAGCTCTTATTATTGTGAGATACATTCCATCAATACTTAGTTTATTGGGAGATTTTAGCCTGAAGTGGTGTTGAATTTTATCAAAGTCCTTTTCTGTGTCTAGTGAGATAATCAAGTGGTTTTTGTCATTGCTTCTGTCTATGTGATGGATTACATTTATTGATTTGTATATGTCGAACAAGTCTTGCATCTCAGGGAGGAAGTAGACGTGATCGTGGTGGATAAGTTTTTTATTTGTTGCTGGATTTGATTTGCTAAAATTTTATTCAGGATTTTCACATTGATTTTCATCAGGAATATTGACCTGAAATTTTCTTTTTTTGTTGTGTCTCTGCCAAATTTTGGTATCAGGATGATGCTGACTTCATAAAATGAGTTAGGGAAGAGTTCCCCTTTTTCTATTGTTTGGCATAGTTTCAGAAGGAATGGTGCCAGCTCCTCTTTGTACCACTGGTAGGATTCGTTTGTGAATCTGTCTGGTCCTGGGCTTTTTTGGTTAGTACACTATTAATTGCTGCCTCAATTTCTGAACTTGTTATTGGTCTATTCAGAGATTAGACTTCTTCCTGGTTTAGTCTTGGGAGGGTGTATGTATCCAGGAATTTATCCATTTCTTCTAGATTTTCTAGTTTCTTTATGTAGAGGGGTTTATAGTATTCTCTGATGGTAGTTTGTATGTCTGTGGAATCAGTGAGCATTTTTTTTACATTTGTTGGTTGTTTGTATATAGTCTTCTGAGCATTGTCTATTCATGTTATTTGCCCACCTTTTGATGGGATTTGCTTTTTTCTTGATTATTTGTTTGAACTCCTTGTAGAGTCTTGATATTAGTTATTCTTCAAATGCATAGTTTGCAAATATTTTCTCTCACTCTGTGGGTTGTCTGTTTACTGGTTCTTTTTCTGTGCAGAAGATTTTTTAGTTTATTAGGTCCAATTTATTTATTTTTTTTTTGTTGAATTGATTTTTGAGTTCTTAGTCATAAATTCTCCGCCTAAGCCAGTGTTGTCTATGATTTCTTTCAGTAGTGTTTCATAAGGTTTTTTTTTTTTTTAAGATCTCTTTTATGTCTAATATAATTCAGCTGTCAATCCATCTCATACTGGACCTTTTCATGGTGGCAATTTATTTTTATTACTGATTCAATCTTGCTGTTTGTTGTTGGTCTGTTCAGGATTTCTAATTCTTATTTAACCTAGAAGTGTTGTATATTTTCAAGAATTTATCCATGTCCTCTAGATTTTCTAGTTTGCACATGTAAAGGTGTCCATATTAGGCTTGGGTGATCTTTTGTATTTCTGTGGTATCAGTTGCAACATCTCCAGTTTCATTTCTTATTGAGCTTATTTGGATCTTCTCTCTTATTTTACTTACTCTCCTGTCATTATAATTCTAATTAATATTTTATGTTAAAATTACTTATTATATTGTACTGTCTTTCATGACAAAAAGTTCTATCTTATAATTTAAATCTGTCAATTGTTTTATGAAGTCTGGATTTTATAAGTTGCTTAGCTCAGCCTTTATAATATTTTTGTGTCTGTGGATTTCAGAGATCAAAATCTGTTCTAAAATTGTATTTAATTCAAATAATAATAGCCACTTGAAACGAGTTCACGCTATTTTTTTTTTTTTTAATTTTGGGTGATTGATTTCCCCAAATCATTAATAAAGTCTTTTATTTTTCTTACTAGTTTGAAATGTTGTCTTAAATGTATGCTGAAATGACATACATATGTCTTCTTGTTTCTTAATGATTATGTTTTTAACTTTTAGGTTCAGGGGTACATGTTCAGGTTTATTATACACGTAAACTGTAGATCACAGGGGTCTGGAATACATATAATTTTGTCACCCAGGTAATAAGTATAGTACCCAATAGGTATTATTTCTGATCCTGTCCCTACTTTCACCCTTCATCCTCAAGTGTACCC